CGCGGTCTATCTATTCGTCTCCAATTCGGTAAATGAAGCAAATGGTCAATAATGTTTACCTTTGAAATATTCTAAGGATATATAGAGTCAGAAGATATCATTTAGTGATCTAAATGCGGAATTAATTAAATTTCCCATCATTTTGCAAAAAGGTTTTAACCCTTAATAAAAAAAAAATCTTGTTTATAGAGCCTTCACTTCTGGCAATGGAAATATTGATTACCTAAAACATTCTTAGGAAAAATTGAGTTAGAAGATATTATTCAGTGATCTAGATGTAAATTTCCCATAATTTTGCAAAAATGGCAATGGAATTATTGCACAGGAAAAATGAATGCACAATACGTCCTATGAAAGAGAATTGAGAAAAAATATACCCATGATTGATCTAGTGGCACTTATTATTGCTCCAGCAGTTGTGAATTTTGTGATTTAAGGCTCTTTTTATGGGTGACTCGGAAAGGCAAAAGCTGAGTGACGGATAAGATGGCAAATTCTAAACAAAAAATATGATAATTCCAGCATGATACTTTTTTCTAGTTCAACTTAATTTTATGAATTAAACAAGACCAAAACTACTGATAAATAAGAATTTGTCGGAGAATTCAGACCAAAATGTAGTAATAAGAAAAAAAAAAATTTTCCTTGAGAGCAGCTTTCAATATGAACCTGCAGAAATATCGATAATGGCCTCTATAAATTGGCCAATAGATTATTTGGAATCGATTATAATGAGCATGTATTGGCTTCAGTTTTATAAAATATCTTGTCCTGACAGCGAATTTAGATATTCAGAATCACCTTAATATTTGAGGATCCGCGTAAAGTCAACGAAAAGATGTATCATATTGCAAGCTATCGATAGACTCTGACCAAAATTTCAGTAATGACAACCCTATATACCGATAGTCTATTGTTTTTGCACTTCCCGTTGTTGGATGTATATGTATCTCGCCCGTTAGATACAGTAATACACGATTTTGTCATTGAGAGGAGGAGGCTATCTTATTTACCGAGTAGCGTTATGAAGTTCAACAACAATTCACTGAGTTGGAAGACACGGTTTGTTGTTTACATATTCATTTGCGACACGCTGGACGATCCCTGGTTTCCCATGTTCACGGGTCACGCTGGGCGAACTCGTGGCGTGAACATGTTTGCTCCATTCTGACTCGCACTCACACCCCCCAACACACATTAAAGATATTAGACAAAGAGAAAGAACTGAAGAGAGTTACCAGGGAGGGAGGGAGAGAAGAAGAAAAGAAGGGGGCATCTTGGAACGGCGACCAGTACCTCACTTGCCTCCGGAAGGTAAGGAATCCCGAAGAAAAGTCGAAGGAAGGAGAGAAAGCTCGTTCCCATCTCGGAGAACAACACGCCTTTCAATACTCTGCCATGAGGAGGTCAAGGGTCGCGATCCTTGTGCTCATGACCTTCTATCACTGCCTGGGTCAGAGGGACGATGAAGAGAATATTCGTTTGAGCTCACAGTCTCTCTTTGTCGCTGACTACGTGGCTTTCTATGGCATAAAGCAGGTATGCCTCCTTGGTGAAGGTGAGTGGTAAAAAGATTATTTGCGTATTGATTGCAAATATGGTGTGGCATATGACTTCATCTAAAATTGGGAATTTAACTGCAAAATTCAGGGAAAGATCGGCATCATTACCTACAGTTCATTTTTCAAATCTCACATCATAATGGAACTCAGGAAGTAAAATAGGAACATGAAAACATTACATAACATTCAGGGACTTTGCTGCATACCAACATCGCTTTGAGAAAGCCGTTAACTCTTTCCATTTGTGCATTTCTTAGAAGCAAGGACATGGAATATCAAGATGTTTTCCTTGCTCGCTGCTGAGACTCCGTTTTCCTACACCTCCGCGTTCGGGGGTGGAGGAGAGACTGATGTAAAGGGAAATAAACATAATAGTCAGGGTCTGGCTGTCGACGGAAAAAGCGGGCACAATAGGACAGCATTTCGAAGCATCCCAGGCTTTTCGAGCTGCCCTGGCTTAAAAGTACTCAGACTTGAAACTTTAGCCAACCAAAAGCTCTTTAGCGAGGTACGAACTTGTCTTTTTTTCTGGTACTAGTTTTCTTAGTATTATTATTAGTATATAATTAGTATTATATATAAAAAAAACATCCCCAATTTGGTATATCATTCAGTTTAGACTCATGAAACCAATATACGCAGATATTTCAAAATCACAGGACCCCAACTACAGAAAATATCCAATTTTCATGACTACAGAACCTTTAGTATATTCAAATAATATAATTTGTTTACTGACTTTTTCGTTTAGGTGTTCAGAGGCGCTGAGGCGACAAGGAGCTGGTTGCTGATCTCCACACACGTGATTCCGAAGGTGCTGGAGAACACGTACTTTCCAATCGACAGTAAGGTAAGAATATACAGCCCTTGTCGATGTCCAAAACAAAAGAGAATAAGCAAGGAAAAAATCTAATCAAAGGCCGGTTTAATGTCCTTGATGAGGAATGACAAACGGGTACTTTTGATATGAACAATGAAAAAGATAGATGTGCATCTTTTCCACTCCCCCTTCCTGTGAACCTCCTTTGTAGTATAGAAAAAGAACGCTTGTGATGATCTGAAACTAATCGGAAACTGATTCTTACAGCTCCACGAGAGGGATTGTGCTAATATACATATATACATATATATATATATATATATATATATATATATATATATATATACAAATATGTATGTATATATTTATGTGTATATACATACAAACACACACACATATATATATATATATATATATATATATATATATATATATATATATATATATATATATATATATATAAACACACACATATGTAAGTGAATTATTTTGACACAGTTAACATCAAACATCAATCAAAGTGGAAAATGAGTTGCTGTTAAAGATAAAAACCATTCTTACGCCAATTAATGAGAAGGTTCTAGCTTGGGATTTCCCCTAAACACGTGCGCTACTGATTTTATAAACAGAATATAGCAAAGATGGTTGAATGGCGAATTGGGCGTAGTACAAAATAAGAGAGTAAAATATTTTTTTTATTTCCATAACCATATATCCCCTACAGCTGACTGTCGCAAAGTTCAGTCTCGACGGTAGATCTGCAACCCTCTGGGAAATCTACCAAGTTGATAAGCAGTTCAAACACCGTCTCGTGCCAGTGGGCCGATGGGTTCTCTCCACTGACCCAGTTCGAGGTCGCTCTCATGTGCCTTCGGTTCGACCAGGTATTCTCACGACAGGGTCAGAAGCTTTACCTTCCAGTTCCAATCAATCAAGACAAGAACATACGGATCCCAGTCTCGGGCAAGAAAGGCAAGAGCGAGCAATATTTAGTCCTGGTGAAGAACAGTCGGATAACCCTGTACCATCTCTGACTAAGACCTGGACCAATAACCCAGCTACTGGTGATCGGCGGCCCGAGAGCTCAGTCCCCAGCCCTGTTGAAGTGTATGATGATTTCGTTCCCACTTCGGCAACTTCAAAGGCAGGTGATGCAATCTACAAAGCTTTCCAGACTTCACCAGTCGCGGGGCAGCTCAGCAACTATGTCACGAATCCATTTTGGACCCAGTCGAGTTTTACCGTACCCAGACACATTCGGGAATATCCGAGTGGATCAACCTCACATACTACCGAGGTTTATCAAGAAAAAGCATTATCTACTGCTGCCAATGTTTCTTCAGAAGATCCAGTCTACAGCTCTGTTCAGACGCTGCACAATAGTCCTTTTCCATCCCTGGTTCCGACTCCGTCACTGACAGGGTTGGAGACACAAATGCCTTACCAGTCACAAAACCGATCACAGCCTGCGTCACCCACTAATGCCCCAAAGCAGTCGGAGGACCCAAAGGCCGCTTCTAGAAATAGACAGTTAAATATTCCAGTCTCTAGCCCTGTTCAGTCGGAGAACCATGAGGCCGCTTCTAGAAATACACAGTTAGATATGCCAGTCTCTAGCCCTGTTCAGTCTGACTCAGGGTCGAGTATTCCCATCCGACAAAACCCAGAAGACGTCGAAGGTGGACTAGATGCCGAATGGACACCCTTCATGCCCCAATCGACGTTTTCCAAGGTTTCCATTGCTAAGGGAGTTGAGGTCAGAGAACGGCATATGAAGTTCGGTGTTCTAGAAGCACCTGTGGATGACCCTTACCTGCGGCGCCAAGATCTAACCGGCATACACTTCAGATGCACAACCTTGCAGGTATATTCAAAACGCATTCATAATCGTTATGGATCACCTATCGAAATGCATTTACAGTGTACAATGCAGCCTCTGCTTTACTAAAAACTGCTATAGTTCCCCACCAACATCAATATACTTAAAAATGTAACTCAATTTCACTATTTCTTTTAGTTTCCCCCCATGACTTTGCTGACGGCCAATGGTGACGGGAGTGTCTCAGTTCGCGGGATCTTGGGAAATGTTCTGAACACTTTGAAGTCTATAATGAATTTCACGTAAGTGTTAAAAAAGTAGTTAATCTTAGTGAAAAATGGTTATAAGTTATTGATGCAGATATAATGGGATATAATGAGGAACAAAGTACACAAATTGTATTCTGTCTCCCGGCAAACAAGTGCAATACTCTTTTATAAAATTATTAACCATTACATAAGTTTTACTGATGAATATTGCTCAAACCATACCGTCACAATCAACTTGATATAAAACAAACAAAACTAACAACAATATCACAACTAAAACAAACAAAACTAACAACAATATCACAACTAAAACAAAAACAAAGACAAAAAAAACGCCATTATCATCATCGCTCTCTTTACCACTTAAATTCTCCCCGCTAGATACACTTGTCACGCCGTAAAGGACGGGCAGTTCGGCGCCTTCGTGGACGGCGAGTGGACGGGCATGGTACGGGAGGTGATGGACGGCGAGGCGGACATGGTGATCGCCAACATGGGCATCACAGAGCAGCGCAGCGCAGTCGTCGACT